ACACTCACTTACATTCACACAGAAGCTGAGGGGCCCGGCAAGTACGTTCTTGCCACCAGATTCACTCTTTCAAAGGTCTGTAATGCTCCACCCCATTGAGAGAGGACTATGGAATAAAGAAAATATGAGTAGATTGTCCCTGGGTTGTCCTCTTATCTCTCAGCATCCCCAGAACCAACTTTGACTTCTAGGACAGTGACGAGAGGCCTTGATTTCCAGAGGAACACTCCCCTCCAACCCCCACCAAGAAGTAGAGCTCATATCCTTCCACAAAGCTCTTTCTACATCTTAGTTCGTGACACCAGTTCTTCCTCTTGTGAAAAGAAATGCTGTTACTAAGTTTTTAAAGGGGAAAAAGAAAGGATTTTTGGAAATTACCAACAGGCATTCTTAGCGTGACATACTGCAATAATTTAGAAAAGATTATTCAACAGATGTTTTGTGAGTACACAGAATAAAATGTTGCAGTCACAAGCCTCAGCTCTCCAGGAGCAAGTCATGCCACAAAACTCATTTCCATGTCTGCTGGGATGATTCCCCGATTGGTGTCATTGGCAGGTATATCTCTATTGTGACAACAGGCATACTGTAGCTTAATGTCATTAAACATTTAAATCAGATAGCTACCTCTTCTTGTTCTGGTTCAAACTCATCAAGGGAATTTCAGGGATTATAACCTAGTTTCCTGCATATTGGCCTCAAGGAAGAGAATGTGCTGGGTAGAGGGTATGAGTATCAAGTGTCTTCTGCAATTCTAGCCGTCTTGTAAATTAAAATTGGCTCTCTCTTACAATTCGGTCTCTTGTGAATTTAGAATACTATAAAGAAAAAGAGAATAGACTTTGGAATCAGTACTGGATTCAAATCTCATTTACTTTATAACTCTGGGCTATATCTTTGGACTATAACTTTCTCTTAATCTCTCCATCTCGGTTTCTTGACCTGTAAAAATGGAACTAGTAATAATCACATCAAAGGTTTTTTGTTTTAAATGAGATAAACTACAGAAAGAACCCATCACCAAGGATTAAGAATGTTCGATTCATTTTTTCATTCACTTAAGAGTAGCTGTTATAATTTTTACTTATCCTTGAGAGACTAATACATAATCAGGGTAACAATTAAATCAAGTTCCTGAACCCACAAAACTGAAGACTGGGCCACAGGTGAAGGGATACATTCTTCAAACCATCAGGTAATGTCTCTGGACCAGCCAGTCTGCCATTCTTGGTAACTTCAACATGGCCATGTTATATCTTTCCAACTTCTACATTCTATTGTATTTTTTTGGTATATATATACACACATATTTTTTTGTTGTTGAAGTATAGTCAGTTTACAATGTTGTGTCAATTTCTGGTGTACAGCATAATGCTTCAGTCATACCTGAACATACATATATTTGTTTTCATATTCTTTTTCACCATAAGTTACTACAAGATACTGAATATAGTTCCCTGTGCTATACAATATGAGCTTGTTGTTTATCTATTTTATATATATTAGTTAGTACCTGCAAATGTATTGTATTTTGATTTCTACCATGGCATTTAACAAAGTCTTTAATGATATAGTGATAGACAAGATACATAAGGGCCAGAACAGCCAATAGTATTACTGTGTGGACCTGCAGCTACTTCTACATAGTGTGGTTACTATAGTCAAAGTCTTTTACAAAACTTCCACTCAGTCATTCAACAGATATTTATTGAATTCTTATTTGGTGCCACGTAAAGTAAATATACTGGTCTGTTATCATAAAACTTACAGACTAGCAAAGAGAAAGATAAATAATCAAGCTAATCACAAAGTGAAACTCAGGAAAGCTCCCTTGCGGAAGGGATGCCTTGCCTGAGACTGAAAAATAATTAAGAATTAACTAAAAGAGCCTCTTTGAGTATAGCTCAGTGGTAGAGCACATGCTTAGCATGCACGAGGTCCTGGGTTCAATCCTTAGGACCACCACTGAAAAAAAAAAACTCTCAATAATAAAAAGACAAATGACCTAATTAAAAAATGGGTGAAGAATCTGAATAGATGTTTCTCCAAAGAAGATATACAAACAGCCAATAAACACATGAAATGTTCAACGTCATTAGCCATCAGGGAAATGCAAATAAAAACCACAATGAGATACCACTTCACACTCCCAGGATGGTTATAATCAAAAAGATGGATAATTAATAAGTGTCTGTTAGAATATGGAGAAATTGGAACCGAACCCTCAACAGTCTGGCAACTTCTCAAATTGGTAAACAGAGTTATCATATGACCTAGTAATTTCCCTCCTAAGTTAAATACTCAAGAGTATTGAAAATACATAAAACATATGTCCACAGAAAAACTTGTATATGGTTGTTCACAGCAGCATTACTTATAAGAGCCAAGTGGAAACAACCAAAATGTCCACTAAGATGAATAGGTAAAATGTGGTATATACATACTTTAGACTATTATCCAGTCATAAAAAGGAATGAAATACTGACACAAGCTACAGCATGGATGAACTGGAAAACCTTATGCTAAGTGAAAACAGTCCATCATAAACCACACATTGTGAGAGCAATGGGAAGCCATTAAAGCCACAAGGAGACCAGAGGACACTCTGCTTGATGAGTTGAGAACTGTTAAACCTGCCTAGCTTTTCCCCCATATTTTGTGTCCTACAAAATAGCCCTTCAAATATTCAAAGAATGCAGAAAAGAGTGCAAAATCGGCCTATGTTGCTCCAGAGAACTAGGACCGACGAGCAAGAGGTTTATTTAAGCTCGTTTTAAAGAAAGTTTCCTAATAACCAGAGTTCTCAGAAAACAGGAAGGGAAGGTAGTTCTCTGGCACAAGCAGAATCCCTGCAAAGATGTAATATGTCCATGAGATCTGAAGAATACTCTAGCACGGGGTGGGAGATCAGGCAAGATGACTTCTAAAAGCGCTACCTATTCAATTATTAAGAGTCTGTAAAGACCAACAGAACCCCCTTCACTTTTCTGAAACTGTAGCAAGCCCCTTTCTTACTCATTAACCAAACATGCTCTTGCCTAGTTGCTAGATTTAACTATGAGGCAAGGATTCATAGTCGTAAATGGAGTCCACATTTTTCATTTAAATTATTATCAGTTGTCCTATTTTAAACATATTTGTATACTACTAACGTAAATGCCAAAATATGTAAATCCAGAAACCCTAGGGTGGTCCCCTGCTGCACACCCAGTTTGTGAACAAAGCGCTGCTCCAGTGGCTTCACTGGAGAGCCCACGTGTAGAAGCAAACCTGGCAAAAACGGACCCAGACACAGCTGCACCTCTCTGGCATCTAGGAAAGAGGAACCCTAACACACACGGTGCAAAAAGCATTTCCCAGACCGCTTCATGGAACTGGGGAATAGCCCAAACAGGACAAACTTCAAAGGAAAAAGGATTAGGACCAAAAAAAGAAGAATGAGCTGAGTCTAGGGACTCAGGAGGACTGGGCCTGCCCCCATTAACCCTTCCTCGGGTAGGCATACACCCAGCTGATGAGGTGTAATCAAAAACACACATTAAAAA